CTGGGGAAATCCGCTTTGAACTTCTGGCAGCCTCTTACACAATCAGCCCGAAAATTTGCAACAAATAAGTGGCAGGTATGACGGTATAATACTGCAATCCTCTACTTGTAATGGAACCGCTTTCTTTCATGTTGGAGGTTTGACATATTTTGACATGACTAGCGGCGGCACGAAACAGCACCAAGTACTATAACAATAAGGAGAAATCTGGAAGGGAACACCAACCATACAACATAAATCAATATAATTCAAAAGAACATGAAGCAAGCACGTCCTTTGACAAGAACCCCTGCAATGCAATGGGAAACGCTGCCATGACAACCTGCATCATGGGAATCATTTGCATCAACTTTCGAACAAGCGGCTTTAGGGGAAACAACCACGGAAGGCAAAGCCATGGCACGAGGGAACAGCTCAGGACATGTCAAAGGACACGTCAAAGGACCTGAAGAACCATAAGTGCTAAGCATGCCGTTCACTAATTAAGCACGCTCACACTTTCTCCTAGACCATTGTCATCAACAAAAAAGGTCAGAAGGGATCGAAGTGGCCTCCCCTCATTGCAGTCGCAAGCACGGGGCAGGGTCTACTTCACCAGCATCTGCTTCACCAACAGAGTGGGAAGCTTGAAACCACGTCCCCGCACAGGGAGCCCAATGGACACGTTAGCGCATCGTGTCATTGTCATCCACTGAGCATATCAGTGGGTTGGCCTCAAACTCTTAGCTGCTGGCAACACAACTTGCCACTGCGCCTCACGCCCGGCCAACGGTGTGCAGGATCCCCACCTAGTATGCTTGGTCAATCCTGCGGGTAAGGCATTGAAGCTTGGCTTTCCATCCAGCAGCCGTCCTGGAAGGTGAAGGTGAAGTGCAGGGCACACAACAAGTTGGTCGCGATCATCCCTGGCACACATAACTCGCCAAAAAAGATCTCTGGCAGCACATTCCTGCAGGTGCAAATCAAGCCTGCAGGTACCCTAAATCTGGCCTCCAGATCCAGAAGGTGGGGCCCTACAGTAGATAGCTCATTGCTAAGTTGGCTTATAACTCCAATAAGTAAGAATTTTGGCAGATCTATCTATATAATCTATATGCTATATACTTGGAACTGGGGAGCATCACCACCCTGCCTCCTGATATGTATCCTGCGGGTAAAGCGTTGGAGCTTGGCTTTACTAGTTCTTTGGCAAAACTTCCCAGAACTTCCATTCCTCCTTATTTAAGGAATTCCTCCTTATTTAAGGAATTCCTCCTTAAAATTCCTCCTTAAATTAAGGTGGAATTTTTGAAAAATTCCTCCTTAAAATTCCTCCTTAAATTTTCAATTGCAAGGAGATCTTGCACCTCCTTCAGCAGGAGACTTGAAACCTCCTTATCCCAGATCCTGGCAGCAAAACTTTTCACTTCAGCTCTGGAATCACTTGTGCTCGAAAACTTTGCAGAACACTCATGCCTATGGAATAAGGGTTGTGGCTTCCACCTTTCACAGCTCCTAAGTGAGCTAGGAAGCCACCAAAGTCTTCGTCTCGATATGTCCAACTGTCTGATGGACAAGAGTTCTGGAGCAATAAATCTAAGAAGCTGTGGTGCTTTGGTTTGATCTTCCAAGTATGGTCAGTCTCGTTTTCCAAGCTCTTGCACAACAGCAAAAACTTTCTGCCAGGCAGCAGCATTGACTGGTGATTCCATAGATTCTTGGACAAGAAAGAATAACATTGCCACAGTTCTGTGGCAGCCATCTTGATTGTATATTCAAACACATTGTCATCAGCCAAAAATTCATCGCAGATTTGTTTTGCAAGAGTAATCAACCCTCGAGCTTCTGCAGCTTTGGCTCGAAGTTTTGGACTTGAACTGGCTTTCTTTCTGATCATGAGGACTGTCAAAGTAGGAAGCCTGTTTTCCACACCTTCAGTCTTGTAGTAGCTTTGAATTCTGTGGAACAAGCTTTTCACCCTTTCTTTGACATTGTTGCCAGGCAAGTGATTTCCAGAGGCAATTAAATGGTGAAAAACATTGAAAATCTGCTGCCACGCCCAAGTCCACAATGTGAAGCCAGTCCAAAAGAAATTGTTTGCTTGTCAGTCCTGGTGTTTGAAACAATTCATTGATGTCAATGCCAGAATTGGAAATGGATTGCAACAAAGTGAAATGGTCCAAAGGATCAAATGCCTTGCAGCTTTCAAAGTTTCGAATTTCAATTGGTTTGCACAAGCACAAATGGCAGCATCCTTGTTTGTCTCGCCATCCAGGAAATTGGAAAACTTCTTTTCTCATAGCCCAATCACCTCTCACTTCAAGTAAAAAAGCAGTGAAAGGCAATGCCTTGCCATTGAATGTGCTTCGTTTTTTGTCGCCTGGGTGCCAAAAGCTGCCATCATGCCTTGCTGAAGGCCAAGTGCAATTGGCTAAGTGAATAAAAGACCAAGACAAAATTCCTAACATCTTCGACAAAGTTACCCCCTTGATGCACCAGTGCTTTGGAATAATGTCTACCTCTGATTTATAAACCTGCCCCCCCCCCCCTTGATTACCTCAAATAAAGTTAAAAACTTGTTTGCATGTATTGGTTTTAAATTACCACAATTTAAAACGAATACATAAAATGCAATTTCCAAAAAAACAGGACTCCAACAATTGTTTTAGTATTGGTTTAGTATTCCCAACAATTGTTTTAGTATTGGTTTAGTATTCATCATGGATTTAGTATTGATTTAGTATTCATGCCATGGATTTAGTATTGATTTAGTATTCATGTCATGGATTTAGTATTGATCTAGTACTCATCTCATGGATTTAGTATTGATTTAGTATTCATGTCATGGATTTAGTATTGATTTAGTATTCATGTCATGGATTTAGTATTGATTTGTATTCATGTCATGGATTTAGTATTGATCTCGTATTCATGTCATGGATTTAGTATTGATTTAGTATTCATGTCATGGATCTGGGCAAATCTGGGTTTAGGGCCAAAAAACAATTAGCTTTATTCAGGGTCAAACTCTAATTAGTGCTAAGGCACCTCATGGGGGGTACCCTTGATGAGTTGATTTGGGATTGATTTTGGATAATTTTGAATAAAGGTTTTGAATAGAAAAGGGCAATCATTATTTTTGAAAATTTGAAGTTATCAAGGTAAGATCTGATGAGCTGGCAATTTGAATCAGTACATGAAAGCAACCTCAATTAAAGCATGGACAATTTTTTTCAGCCTCATCTGGACAAATCTGGGTTTAGGGCCAAAAACATTTAGCTTTATTCAGGGTCAAACTCTAATTAGTGCTAAGGCACCTCATGGGGGGTACCCTTGACGAGTTGATTTGGGATTGATTTTGGGTAATTTTGAATAAAGGTTTTGAATAGAAAGAGCAACCATTATTTTTGAAAATTTGAAGTTATCAAGGTAAGATCTGATGAGCTGGCAATTTGAATCAGTACATGAAAGCCACCTCAAATAAAACTTTTTTCCAGCCCCATCTGGGCAAATCTGGGTTAAGGGCCAAAAAATGTTAGCTTTATTTAGGGGTAGTTTATTATTTAGTTTGGGGGTTTGGTTAGCTTTATTCAGGGGTAGTTTACAAATCGTAGGTCAACAGTACAGCACAAAGGGATTCGCAAAGTACCATTAGGTGGAAGTAAGCCAGGAAAATTCAATGAGATGCATTCCAAAGTTTGACTTCTGTCATAATTGTAAGGTGTGCCATCGATCCAAAGGCCAAGTCCTATGGCTTCTCGAACTTGGAACTGCATTTGCATGTTCGCCAAATGTTTTTTGCTGAGTTCACACATGCCACCAGTCTGCAGCAAGTCTTTCTTCTCAGAGCGCTTCGAGAAGACAAAATGAATCTCATGTGGCAAAAGAAAAGGTATCTTCTTCATCTCTTCTGCTTGTGTTTCAGGATTGTAGCAAGGGATCAATGCAATGTATTCATTGAACCACAGGCAGTTCTTCAACATTTTTCTTTTCATATCCCTTGCCAAATTCTTTTCCCAATTGGCTTGCTTCTCACCACTGCCAGATTTCTCTGCACCTTTGACCAAATCTTTCACACCAGCGGCTCCAGCTATTTGTGCATCTTTCATGAGCTCATTGGCTCTTCTAGCAGAGACAGTCTTGGTCAAAAACAAATTGGACACATTGTGTCGAAACCTCTTCTGGTCAGGTTCCCTAAGGGTAGACAAATCTACCTTTCTCTTGTGAAACATGGCTTGAGCTGGAAAAACATGTCAACATAAAAGTTCATAAGATCTCAGAAGACAAGAAGTTACACATTGTATTTAGTTAATGCTAAATTTGGCCAATGCTTTGAAACAGGGAAACAGTAAAGGAGATCTTACACCTCCTTGAGTCTTGTACACCAGCTTAGAAGCAGGCTCTTTTTCCAGCGACAGTTACCAGCTGCGCATCTTCCAAGCAGATCCCTGCGATATTTTAATCTGCATTTCCACATTCCAAAACTGACAACTGCACCAAATGCGCTTTCCAAAATCTAAGGGCCAAACAGCTCCTACAGCAATGCCTGGTGAGTTTTCACCTTGGCTTTTGCTTCTTGCAGCTTCTCTTGGCTGGAAGCAAGCCATGCTTTGGCAGCAGGCAATGATTTCGAAAGGCTTTCAGGAGAAGTGTCCTCAGGAGCAAGATCTTCACTGGCTGCGACATAGGATCGAAGGTTGGCAATGGCTTTCAACTGCTCTTGGCACCAAGTCTGAAGACCTTTGCCTTTGGCATGGAAGCTTGGGTCACCTTTGATTTCCAAACGACAGGCCAGGTCCTGGGCCTTGGCAAGCTCCTTCTCCCAGGCATTCTTGCAGGAATTCAGACTGTTGCACACATTCTGAAACTCCTTCAAAGGCTTACTGACCCCCTTGTCATCCAAAGCCTGGCCTGAGATCTGCTTGTCCATTGGGTCCACAGGGTTCTTCTCAATGGTGGCCAGTGGCTGCTTCCTCCATGGAGGCAGTTCCTTTGGAGGTTCCATTGGACCTTTCACTGAA